TTTTACAAAAAAAAGTTTAGAATCCCTTTTAAAACAGCCAAAAGAAAACCCAAAGAGGTTTTAAAAGAGGCGGGAGCCCAAACCCAAAATTATCAAGACATCAGAAGGAGACAGCACTTTTTGGCATTTTTATGGAAGGGGGAAAATAGAACAGTTGTGCCCACGGGAAAGATCTGGGAAAGTGGATAGGGGAAGACACCGAACTAAAAATCGAAGGAGTTTGCAAAGGGACGGCAGTTTTGCCCACGCGCGGCGGCCCCTGTAATAAGGTGATGACCCTTTACCACAAACCCAAAACAAGGTCGAAGGTCTTCAAAATGTTGCCCATACCCAAAAAAACCCTATGGGGAAAAAGGGGCTTTTACTTGGGAAAAAAACCTTGCGGCCGTGGCCATGGAAAAAAAATCTCCGATGTCAAGTCGTCCCCCTTCGACTATGTGGACGTCACGATCTTAAGGAAGGTAAACCCCCATATTAAATTTTAAATAATTGCGAAAAAATTTTTTATACAACACCAACACAAAATATGGGGTACACAGATAGGAGGGTCTTAGTTTCTATGATGAAAGAGCGTAGGAAGTAAAGATTAGAGAAGATTTTTGATGTGTAAACTGATATGTCCTAAACTTAGAAGTATTAGATAATGTACTCCCGACTGTGGTAGTCGCCGTGGCGGAGCGGCTAGACGCTCGCCTGCGGCTCGGAAGGTCGTGGGTTCACTCCCTAGCAGAGCCGGACTTTCAAAAAATAACCTTGTCTCCCAGGTCGACCCAGCTTTGAGTGGGTACCAGGTTCAGTCCTGGAAGGTAAAGGCGGCCGGAGTGATGCTGACCACCATATTACCCATTTTGTGCCGCTGGTCTTTAAAATATAGGTGTAGCCCTATATACCAAATACGCCTAAAAGGCGAGGAAAAGGGTCCTTTACTTTACTTAGTCCTGACTGTGGGCGTGTATGTTTTACTATAGATTAGGCCGTCTGTACAGTGTACTTGTTGACACCATTGATGTTATTTGCTTATATTTTCTCCCAGGATACGGCGGGGCTGGTGTTACCATAAACAGAAGTTTGCTCACGGAAAGAGAGAAGATAATCTATGACAACGGACTGAATACTTACACCGTTAATCAGATGGCCAGTGACAGGATTTCCTTGAGAAGAAAGATAGCCTTCGATATTCCAGAGTATGATAAACTCATTTGTTTTTAATCCTAAATACACTTAAATTGTTTTGCTTTCAAGTCTGAAGTTTTGAACAACGGATCAACAACATGGCACACAGGTAGTAACCCATAAGTGCTCCATTCTTCCTCTAACTCAAGCCTGAGTACGAAGACGCTCAGCACAGTGCACAGGCTCTGTAGAACCGGCGAAGATCTCCAGCTACTTTGGGTAGATTTTTGACTCCAGATTTTGCCCGGGCAGCACCGTAACTCTACTCTTTTTGATTTCCAACTGCCAACTGATTTTTTACGTGCGCAACAATGCCCAAGGGTGTCCGATATCACTACCCAGAGACAAGAGTGAAGTACTAGAAGTCCAAGTCCAGGTGAAAAAATCCCAGCCCTTACCGGGGATTGAACCTCTAGCACACAGCCCCCTTGTTTTGCTTTCATTGTTGAGGGAAAGCCTGTGCATGTCTTTTAAACTCGTACAGAAAAGAAAAACCACATTCATTTAAATAAAATGAGGTATATCAGAGAGTCTTAGAAATGTTGTTAGACTTAAAAAAAAAAAAATCAGATCTAACCAAAATGACATTGGCTCTCTTTTCGACCCAGCCTGGAATAGGTACCAGAAAGGTCCAGGAAAATAAATGCGGCAATAATGGGAGTGAAAAAAAGAAGGGTCTGCAGTCACACTGATGACAAGAAATACTCAATAGCGTAACAGTTGACTATAAAGGTTATCGGAGGGAATATCAGAGCACTCGCACAAATACAACCGAACGTTTTAACCAAAGTCTTTATCAACGGAGTATGTACAACACAAAATGTGAATAAAGTAATAAGAACAGCGGTTCTCAACCTGTGGGTCGAATGATTCTTTCACAGCGGTCGCCAAAGATCATAGGAAAACACATAAACACTGAGATTATGAAGTAAAAACGAAACAAAATTGTATGGTTGGGGGTTACGGTATTAAAAAGGTAGAGAACTATTGATTTAGAAGCATACCTAGGAGAAACGACCTGCTATTGATGATATTTTAGCCATTACGATTTGTAGGCCCTATAATCTAAAGTCGCAGCGTCCGTTGTTAAGGCGTTGCGAGTCCGATTGGTAATTCCAATGTACCACGATCGAAACCCACTGATAGCTGCGTGGATTTTTATCAAGGTATGGGGCGCCGCAGGTCGACCCAGCCTAAAATGGGTACCAGGATGGCTGTCCTGGAGAGGTAAAGACGACCGGAGTAATGCTGACCACATTACCCACCCAATGCCGATTAGTCTGTAAAAATATGGGACGCTCTTCTCAAATGCTCGATGCGCTCAAAGCGTGAAAAGGGATCTTACTTTACTTACTTTACTTATAATCTAACGTCAGCAAAACCAGTCATGTGAATATGCCTGTGAATTGACAGGAAAAAAACTGGTACACGTAGAAACAGCACATGTTTAAACCTAAAGAAATAAAGGATGTCTTGCTTTGTTATGTCGTGGAATGATGTCGTCACATAAATAGATACATGCTGTTAGAGATCGGAAGTTGTGGAGATGTATGATCACAGATAGAAGTCAGCAAGTTGCACTGATTGTTAAATATTTCGACTCTTACAGCGATTTGCTGCCCAACACATCGGAGCTTACACATAGAAATGACAGACGGACAAACTGCTAGACAGACAGACAGACAGACAGACAGACAGACAGACAGACAGACAGACAGACAGACAGACAGACAGACAGACAGACAGACAGACAGACAGATAGACAGACAGACAGACAGACAGACAGACAGACAGACAGACAGACAGACAGACAGACAGACAGATTTAACTATTTCTTAGTTTAGAACTAGTTGAACTAGGCGAATACATATATATACACGATGAAGTTGCTTGTCATACCGAACTAGAAAATCAACAAAAAACTTTCAAGGTTCATTATCTAATTCGAGCAGATGCAAGAACCTAACATACGATACGACAGCCCTGCCTACAGCGGGAATAGTTCTAGTCTTCGTAGATGAAATGTGGTCAGCGCTGATGAGAACAGTTTTCAGTATTCTTGATGCTGGTCCCATAGAGCTGATCTCTGAGATTATCCTTGTCGACGACGCTTCCCAGAAAGGTAATTTAGTTAGTTTGCGTACCCTTTACAGGGCGTTGCAAAACCAAATACAGCATGTTTTGGCTGTTGTATTTTTTCTAGACAAATTTACGTCCAGTAGTTTGCCATTGCTCCTGGACGGTCGGCTCTCGGTTCCACTGTCGAAACCAACGCAAGACAGACCGTGCTTAGCAGGGATCGAACCCGGCACCGCGGCATTACAAAGCGCGTTCGCAACGCTTAAGCCACATAGGCCTTTATATAGTTCAGACTATGTTAATCATCACAATTTTTACTTTTGCCATAAAGCGTCGTGTAGAGTAACAGGCTCCGCTTCATTACTTGACGAGTAGCAATGATCATTGTCTTTCTGTGTTGATTTAGAAGGTCTTGATGTCAATTCTCCATCTTCTCTTAGCGGCACCTTTTGCTTTCACAACAGATGCTGCTATGTATCTCCTGTATTGGTAATTGCTGTGGCTGCTTTCTCCCTGAGAAAAAAAAAAATGTTTAATAATTAATTCTGAAGTCGACAGAGTGCACCTGGTCTAGAGTAATCAATAAACATATCAAGTATATTAGTAACTGTTCTGGTTGCATTCTCACACAATTACAAAACATTTGACAAGAGTCGAGTTGAATTGAGTTGAGTCAAGAATTGACATCACAGCAGTCGGGGCATTTCCATGCGTGCTTCGTCCTCATCTTTAGCAGCCAGCGAAGAGTTAAAATACTCATGGTACCGGTAACAATTTGGTTATATATCAGCCATCGGCGGGTAAGAGGCGCCATAATCTCAACCCCCCCTCCCCCCACTGCCTTGCAGGGTAAGTCTCTTTAGACAAACGCTATTGGAGTCGAACCATATACAAACTGTCGGAGGGCAAGGGGAAACCACTGCTGTACTATCCCAAGAAAATTATGCCTCAAAATAATAGGAATTCAGATAACGACGTGAATGGGGATTCCAGTAGAATCACCTCATCAGATAGGGAGCATCATGTTCTACGGGTAATACCCGACCGTCATCCAGCTTCTGTAGAAAAAGTAAATGGTAGAAACATCATGAATATTGGTACATGGAATGTCAGAACACTCGTACACTCAAGATGGAAATGAAAAGAATGAACATCAACATATTAGGAATTAATTAAATGCGATAGCAAGGAGCAGGGGCAAAGTATTCAGATCAGTACAGAATTATCTACTCGGGTGGAAAGGAATATAGTAAGGGAGTTGGTATTATTTTGGATCCAAATAACTCAAAAACTGTGAAAGGATTTTGGACAATATCAGATAGAGTACTTTTAGTAAAACTTAGCGGCAGACCACTTGACATCAACTTAGTACAGATTTATGCCCCAACAGCAGATAGTTCAGAGAAAGATTTTATGACGAGTTAGACATGGCTGTTGATCAGTGCAAAAATTTTGAAGTAACAATGGTACTTGGAGATTTCAACGCAAAAAAAAAAAAAAAAAAAAAAAAGAAGTGAAAAAGTGTACGGAATAACGGGTGGCTATGGCCTAGGAGAAAAGAATGTGAGAGGTGACAGATTAATAGCATGGGCTGAGTCACGCAGCATGATAATAGGTAACACCTGGTTTAAACACCATCCTCGAAGATTGTGGACTTGGAAAAGTCCTGGTGATAATGTCCGCAATCAGACTGATTATATTTTGATTTCAAGAAGATTCCGTAGCAGCCTAGTTGGAGCAAAAACTAGACCAGGTGCAGACCGCTTTAGTGACCATGTTCCAGTTGTAGGAAAAATTAAAATAAAACTAAAGAACATTAGAAAAACACCTCAGAACATCAAGTTAAATTTAGGAATTCTTAGAACGGATGAAGAAATTAGGGACCAGCACAACGTCACTGTACAAAACCTGTATAATGCAATGGAAATTATACAGACTATTGATGTTCAGTGGGATATGTTGCATGAGTCAGTTCGGCAGACATCTAAAGAGAAAATCCCACCAACCCATAGAGTTGCAAAAAACAAATAGATGTCAACCGAAATTCTGCAGTTGATGGATGAAAGAAGGTAGAAACAGAATGATAAAGAAGAATACTCTAGAATACAAAAAGAAATAGTGAACAAATGCAAAGTGGCTAAAGAAGCCTGGCTGAATCAAATGTGTACAGAGATTGCGAAAATCAACAGGAAAGACTCACATTCCATGTACCAACAGTTAAATATGTTAACAGGAAAGATGACACGTAACAGCACTAGATGTTTGAAATCAAAAGATGGTGACTTATTAATGGGACATAGTAATTTAATTAACAGATGGACAGAGTATATAAGGGAATTGTATGATGATAATAGACCAGATGTAGAACTGCAGACCAACAATGATGGTACACCAATAACGACTGCAGAAGTTGAGGATGCAATACATCATATGAAGAAAGGAAAAGAACCCGGGCCAGACAACATCTCACTGGAAGAAATCGAATCACTGGGAGATTTTGGAATTGAAAAAAATAATTACACTTTTAAATGATATAAATAAAAGTGGGTATATTCCAAATGACCTTTTAAAATCAATATTTATAGCTCTGCCTAAGAAACCAGGCACTTTAAAATGTAACGACCATCCCACAATAAGTCTTATGAGTCACACGACTAAGATTTTACTGAGAATAATTATGAGAAGAATAAGAACCATAATTAAACCCGAAATCAGCGATGAACAATGTGGATTTTTAGAAGGGAAAGCTACAAACAATTCCATATACATCACATCCTAAGGACGTTGTCAGAAAGAGCTATAGAAGTAAAGACTGATTTTTACTTATGCTTCATAGACTATACAAAAGCATTTCACTGTGTGAAGCATGAAGAAGTAATCAAACTGTTAGAAAAATTAAACATTTATGGGAAAGATCTACGAATAATAAAGAATATGTATTGGCAGCAAACAGCAGCTTTAAGAATTAACAACTGTTTAGGTACATTTCAAGGCATAAAGAGGGGCGTAGGACAAGGATGTGTACTGTCACCTAGTCTGTTTTCAATAAACAGTGCATATGTAATGAGATCTTTAATTGGTATGCCCGGAATTGTGGTTGGTGGGCTCAATAAAAACAATACACGTTATGCCGATGACACAGTCTTGATAGCAACAAGTCAGAAATAACTACAGGAAATGATAGACTTTGTGGTGTTAGAAAGTGAAAGAATGAGCTTTAGTTTGAATAATGGGGAGACAGAAGTAATGGTGGTATCAAAGAAACGAATTATTCCTAAGTGTGTAATAAAAGTTGATGGTGTTTTTTTAGGACAAGTACAGAAATTTAAGTATCTGGGCACATGGATAACGTCAAATGGAAGATGCATAACTGAGATAAGAAACAGGACAGGCAAAAACTGCATTTTATAAAATGAAAAACATCTTGTGCAATATATCCTTGTTATTGAGAGTTAAAACAATAATTCTTGCTTGCTACATACATCCAGTTTTAACATATGGCTGTGAATCCTGGACAATCGGTAGGCAGGCAAAACAATTTCTAGAGGCCTCAGAGATGTGGTTTTACAAAAGAATGCTTAGAATACCTTGGACAGCCAAAAAGAGCAAACAAGAGGTTTTGAAAGAGGCGGGAGCCCGAAGACAACTTATCACAGACATCAGAAGGAGACAGTCATCATTTTTCGGCCATGTTATGAGAAGAGGAAAATTGAGCATGTTGTGACCACTGGAGAGATCTGTGGAAGGAGAGACAGAGAAAGAAAACGAGAGACGATTCTTGACAGTCTTGTTGCATGGCATGGAGGTGTGTCGGCACACGACCTGATACATACTGCAGGAGATCGCATATTATGGAGAGGCATGATCGCCCACGCCAGTCGGCAACACACCTGATGATAATGATCCGTCTTCCCTCTCCTCTGAGTGCAGTGAGCCGGCCATATCCTCTGGTTACACCCAGGTGCCTCATTCTCTCCAGGCCATAATAATCTTGTTTCTCTGCTGATACCGTTGCTTGTTCCCGAAGTGCGACCGCATCTGCCTTTTCATGTATCAATTCTCCACCCAGTCGTGCAGATTCAGCCAGACAGTGTACCTGGTATAGGGTAAACAAAAAACGTACAGTAAAGTGCTTGGCAAGCGGCGTCCGTGGCTTAGGCTTTGGGAGTCCGACTCGTAATCCAACGTACCGCGATTTAAAACCACTGCTGGCTGCGTGGAATTTTATCATGGTATAGGTCCTCGCAGGTCGACCCAACCTAAAATGGGTACCAGGATGGCTGTTTTGGGGAAGTACAGACGGCCGGCGTAATGCTGACCATATCACCCACATAGTGCCGATTAGTTTGGAAAAATATGGGACGCTCTTCCTATATACCCGATGCGCCTAGGGCGTGAAAAGGAATCTATATCTGAACTGTGATCTGAAGTGCTCGATGTTGAAATAGTAGAATAACATTTCATTCCAATGAGTTGACCAAATCAGACAATCATCTTTTTCTCATTGTGTTTGGCACATGATGTTGTGCCATTGTTCACAAAGTATGTCTAATAGTATCACTTCACACTCCGAGATGGTTGAGTTGGCAACTTTCCTGGGGCATCTCATTTCACATCATCATCATCATCAGTTCTCGTTATGCCTAGCGGCACACGAGGCTTCAGAGAGGACTTTCTATGCTTTCCTGTCTTTTGCAATCTTCAGTGCAGTTTTCCATGTCAAAGATGCCGCACAGGTCACTTTCCATCGTTCGTCTCTATGTTGTTTTTGGGAGCCCTCGTTTCTTATTCCCTCTGGTGTCCATGTGAGAGCTGTTTTGGCAGGTATATCAGGATTCATTCTCCTAACGTGGCCAAGCAATTTCCATCTGCTCTTGGTTATCATACTGTCTAAAGTTTCTTGGTTTCTGATTTGAAGTAGTTAAGTGTTTGAGATTGTATCTGGCCAGAAGATTTTGATAATTCTACATAGACATGTGTGGTGGAAGGTGGACAGCTTGTGTGCATCCGTTTTGGTCATTCTCCAGCATTTCGCTAGATAAAGAAGAACTGGCAAAATGATGCTCTTGTAGAGTCGGAGTATCATTCCTCTACAGTAACTGTTAAATTTCCAGATTTGCCTCATCTATCCAAAAGCAGCTCTAGATTTGTTCAGATGTTACTGTATGTCCTCTTCGGTCTCTCTCGGTAGGGACACCACACTGCCAAGATATGTGAAATGTTCTACATTTTCAAGAGTTTGGTTATTAATGTTCACTAGTTGTTGGTTTGGACTGCTTGTCATGATCTTAGTTTTCTTTGTATTTATTCTCAGTCCCACCATTTCTGCTGTGCTGTGTAGTCTGTTACCTTTTTTTTGTGTGTATATGTTCATGTTTATGTGATAGGAGTGCTATATCATCTGCAAAATCAAGGTCCTTAAGCACGGTGAATGGAGTCCATTGTATGCCTCTCAGTGTTCTGACTATTGTGTTCTTTAGTATCCAATCAATCACAAGGTTGCTCTTTGTGGTGCACTGTCTGATGCCAGTCTTGTATGTGAATAAGCGTGTATAAAACAAAACCTCTCTATATTGTATCGACCGCAATACATCTTGCTCTGTATAAAAAAAAGGCCCTTTAGCTCAGACCCTTGTATGTTTTTATGCCAGCCACATGAACACAGGATTGTAACTTAATGGAAACGATTAGGGGATACGCTAATTGGGTGGTTAGACTTTTGACTACACGTTGGTTAAGCCTTAGTCATATATGGCAGGTTACAAAATAACAGTATTTGAGACTACCGACCAAACCATCTCCTTTATAGTTCTTTAATGAATTGTATGACTGATTTCAGTCCTTATCTACCTCTAATTTCCTAATTCCTGAGTTTTTTTTTCGTCTTCTCACACCGGCAGCTCTCCTAAGACATCTTATCTCTGTTGTTACGATCTTCCGCTCATTAATTGTAATAATGGTCCATGTTTGGCACTGTTAGTTACATCTCTCAAAAATTTTCGGTGATACACCTGGTAGAAGAAAAGATTCAGAAGAAGGAGATGGAGGAGAAGAAGAAAAAGAAAAAGAAAAAGAAAGAAGAAGAAGAAGAAGAAGAAGAAGAAGAAGAAGAAGAAGAAGAAGAAGAAGAAGAAGAAGAAGAAGAAGAAGAAGAAGAAGAAGAAGAAGAAGAAGAAGAAGAAGAAGAAGAAGAAGAAGAAGAAGAAGAAGAAGAAGAAGAAGAAGAAGAAAGAGAACTAATAAAAACATTACCAACAGCATCAGTAACAACAGAAGCAGAATAACAAACAATGCCTTCTTCCATTAGCTAACATATCAAACAATCATCCTCATACCTCAGATATCTAAGGGTACAAATGCATAAAAGAAACGCTTGTTTGCAACACTGAATGAAATGTGTCGCTTATTTTCCTGTGTCGTTTCCAACAGACCACCTTGGTCAGCCTCTAGATGACTACATTAGGATCTTTAATGGTAAAGTCAAAGTAGTTCGCTTACCAGAGAGAAAAGGTCTGATAGCAGCACGATTAGCTGGATTTGAGCACGTGACAGGAGAAGTGGTTATTTACCTCGATGCCCATATGGAAGTTAACAAAGGTAACATTTCATTACTGAAATTACTTATTTGCATAATGCATTACTGTAGAAGTACACGGATACACAAATTATTAATGGTTACCATTGGACTGTAGGTTACACCACGCTTTTATAACCGTTACTTGTACCCCAGGTATAACTTCGTTGAAGGTTGAAACGAGTATTTGACATTGGCCCTCTTGAGACTGCCACTGTTTAAAATTAGGGTGGTTACACCCTTAAGGAAGCATAAAAGGATGCAAAAGCAAACAAAATGTAGACCATTAAGCGTCACAGTTTGACAAAACACAAACGAAAAGTGAATGTTGCTGTAAGAATATACAAACGTACTTCTTTATTTTTTTTTTAGCATTCCGAGCCCTTGATGTTGATTGCTGCAGCTATCACCCGCCTCCATTCCTCTCTGGCTATCCTTCTCTTTCCAGTTGGTAACAAGAAGTGTGTGCAGGTCTTTCTGGATATTATCTCTCCATCTTCTTCTTGGGCTCCCTCGTGGTCTACGACCATTCATCTCCCTGGTGTATACAGTACTTAACTGACGTTATTTCCGATAGCAGTTCTGTTCTAAATAAAAAAAAAATAATCAGAACCACGTTCAACCTGCTGTTGGCAGCGAGCAACCAACAGGCTCCGGTTATATTTGTGGTCTGGTTTATTTACTCCACTTTCGTGGCTATGATTATGGTATGTGAGCCAGCTCTCTGGCCTTTCCTTAAAGGTAGACCACTCCTTTCTGTCTTTGTCCTTTGTGTTCTTTTTATTCTCGCCTTTCTTTTGTTTTCCTCACGGGGTCACCCGCAGCGTCCTTATTATCTTTTCATTGATTCCTCTTTTGTGTATCCGATTCTGTTACTCCCTATATTGGCCAGGCGTATCTTGTGAGAGACCAAGCTCGTACCACACAACGACCTTTTGGACCACCATTTAAAGTTTTAAAATTTTCTGTTTTTTATTTGCCAAAAGTATTCAATGCAGTTTTGGGTTAGGACAGATACGAAATTGTGAAAGTATTTCGCGTGTGACCATAGCGGTCGTCCTGTAGTGAGCGCGGGTTAGGCATGTCATAGTGATTTATAGAGTGTAGGCGCCAGTGATGTATAGCCTGAGACTGGCAAGAGCCGTGACGAGTATATACTGTAGCAGCCCGGAGTGGGGGAAAAATGGATGCATTTCTTTCACCAGTACGATTTTGAGGTCACACTAGCCTCAAATAGGCACCAGATGATTGATCATTTTATGAGAGGTGTCAAACAACAAAAGGCAACGACGAACAAATTGCGCCAACCCATCTAATGCTAACATTGGACTAAGTATGTGTAGTTCTTTTGTTAGTGGATACTTGCAGATCAGTTTTTTTCAACTGTCCTATTGCTGCGACCCTGTAATACAGTTTCTCATATTGTGGCGACCCTGTAATACAGTTTCTCATGTTATGGTGACCCCCAGAAGTACAGTTATCTTCGTTGCTAATTCATAAATTTAATCAAAATGTGTTTTCCGATGGTCTTAGACGATACTTATACAATGGTCGTTCGACACAGAAAAGGGTCGCAACCCACAGGTTGAGAACCGCTGTTCTAGACGAAGTCACATCACTATACTTATATTAGGAAACACGTTTTCCAAAGATATGACGTCACTGCCCATTAATATATCCATTAGTGTCGCCAAACAAGAAAATTACACAGGTAGCCAAAAAAAGAACAGTAAACCAACATAGAACTGGGGTTATCAGTCGCCACACGCTGAGGGATATACTGAAGATGTGATGATATACCAAAGAAGTGACATAGTTGAGCTGAAAACGTTTCATAGAACCATGAGGTACCCTCGAATCTCCCCAGGGACGGGGAGATTAAAGTATTTCGAGAGGATCTGTAAACGTTTGAGGAAACGGGTGGGGATGAACAGGACTGTCAAAGAATATACCCTTCTGTTTACATAAGGAAAGGTTGTTAATGTCTATTGATAAAGCTTCTGTCGTGAAATGATAGCCATTACGCATCGGTCTGTAAGGCTTATAACCTGTCTTACCTGTAATCTGCACAAAATTCAAACTTGGACTCGCCCAGAAATATATAGTCCCTTATATCTATATATATAGGCCTGTATTGGACAACATTATTATGTCTGCCTTTTCTGGTTACTTTAACTAAACTCCACTTTTAAATGTATATCTCTTGGGGATATATTTAGGGAGTTAATTGAGGTTTCTTGGAAACCGATTTACTCCTTGCCCCAGTATACAAGGAACTTCTTTTGTACCAACGCCTGAAATGTCTAACTGACGCCATTCTCCTTGCCAGCTTCTCAAGCCTCCAGATGTGTTAATCTGTGCCTGTATAACTTTCAATTTTGAAGGCAATCTGGAAATGTCTCAGTTTTTACATATGCTTGGGTAAGTTAATTATAGTTTACGAGTACCTAGAATGATGTCTGTAAAGTAGTCACTGCTGTAGAGAAATCCATATCGGCTGTGTGATCTCACTTAGTTCTACCATTCTTGATCGCTAGAGTAGCGGATTCGAACGTAGATCTTCCACTGTACAGACTAAATAGCTTATGCCCTCAATAAACCACCCATACTGATAAACATTTAATGCCCTTACAATTGTGTACGTTTTAAACTACTTACAGAATCTGTACATACGAGATGGGGACAGAATTGGGTCAGGGCTGTGTTAATCAAAGTATGTGTGTGCTTGACCCAGATCAATGAGTGCTGGGGCGGTTGGGAAAACTAGTGAATGCAGGTACTGACAGTAAATATTGGTGTCTGTGTGCATGGTGAGGGGGAGAGGGAGAGTGATATATGTGTTAGACCACTTTATCTATCTCCACTGTATATCTGATTTACCTTCTCTTGCACTAAACAGACAGATAAATATAGGAGACTTATGTCTTTTGGTCTGGAGAGGCAATCTGAGGAATGAAACAGGAGAGCAGGGGGGAGTCAGCAGATGGGGGTTGATGACTATGCTTGCTCTGTCTTTCCTGTCAAGATGTTACCCTCTTGATGATGACTAATGTTGAGTTATTTTCTTGACAGGATGTATATTTTCTGAAGAGCTGGCAGAAGATTCACAGTCTCACCAACATCCACCCACCAATCCAACCACCAGAACCAACTTGTTACCCACCAGCTAACACCTGTGAAGGTTCCTGACATCTCCAGAATGGGGGAGATTGTGCCTCAAACAGCTACCAGTGCTAGAGCTTAATGTGGCTCAAAGACATTGTGTGTCCTTACTGGTGATAGAGACTTGCTAAATACCAGTACAGTTGCTGTACAGTGAAGTACTCTTGCTACTTGATCCAGTGGAGCAGAATTCCCAGAGTCAAAGACAGTCAAATCATCCGGAGCTGAGGGAGGCATCATAGACAGAGATAAGAGAAGATAAGTCTAATGCTTCGCATGATGTTGTGTTCCTCACAGCTCCCTGTGTCCAGTGATGAAAAGATGTCATCTCCAAGACCTTCTGTCTGTGTAGTATCTGTTTGATTTGGACATGATATCCTGAGATCTGGCATTTGTCTCACTTTTATATATCTAATTTATATTGATTACATACATTCATTTTCATGGCTGACTTAGGTGTCTCTATTTCACCTTTTTAAGTGTTTAGCAGTGTATATGTATGTGTATCTTCATTATATGTGTTAACATGGTTATGATAAGGAACTATCATAACCTGGGGGCTTTCTTTAGTAAGTAGTGGGGGTGTCCAGCCAAGTGTGCCTAGAGATATTGTATATATATATACTGATATATTTTGTAGTGCCAATACTTGAGTTGCCCTACTCCAGAGATAAGTTGATCGTATATTGGCCACGGGGAATCCCTTAGACCAATACGAGCCAAACGACTCAACATAATTATCTCTGAGTGCTGCTGGTTCTGAAGGAGAAATCCTTACATTAGGCACGCGACAGGAGTGATATGTGACAGAACAAAATATCCCCAAAAATCTGTGGTCTCGTCGTGGGATTGTTTTGTACACTGTTCAATCTTTAAATTTGCTGGTGATCTTGGCCAGGAGTTGTTCAGTGTTTGTTTTTTTGTTAACACAGTTGTGACCATTCTGGGTCAGTTCTTAGAGTATACTCCTAGGAGTGATTTGTAATCATTGTGGTGTTTTGTGGTGTTCAAGTACATTGGGTTAGGTACAACATTGGTTGGTGGAGATCATTTAATCTATTGTTGATTAGATTTACATTGTTGGTGACAATATATTTTGTTGTGGACTGTTAGATTGACAAGACAGCATGTCGCAGTCAAAAATTTCCATACAGGAATTGAAGGACATGGCTGTCCAGATGGGATTGGAGGGTAAAGAAATGACCGAGTGGATTAAAACCACGGAACGTGAGATGAGGATGGAAGCCCGTGAGGCTGAAAGACTCAGAATAGAATCTGAGAGGGTGCAAGAAACCGAACGACTCAGAATTGAATCTGAGAGGATTCGAGAAACTGAAAGACTCCGAATTGAGTCTGAGAGGGAATCAGAAAGAATGAAGTTGGAACAGGAGGTGAGGTTAAGAGAATTGGAACTTCAGGCTCAGAGAGAGGGTAATAGACCCAGATCTCCAACACCTGATATTGATGGTGCATCAACGCACAGTAGCTCAGCTCAAGCGATGAACTTTCCTATGCCAGTCTTCGACCCGAAGGCGGAAAATATTGAACAGTACCTAGACCGATTTGGCAAATTGGCATCTTTATACAACTTGGAAAGGAATATGTACACGCTGAAGTTGGCTCAAGGTTTGAGGGGTGAGGCATATGAGATTTATCAACGGATGCCCACCGGTACTGAGACTGATTATGATGCCTTGTGTCAGGCTTTACTGAAACGTTTCGAACTTAATGCTGCGACATACAGACAGAAGTTCAGAAATGAGAGAAAGATGACAGGGGAGAACTATCCTCAGTTCGCCAGTCGCCTTCAGGGATATTTGACAAGGTGGAGGGAAATGTCTGGATACTCCTCCTCTTTTGA